ATCCCGGTTCGCCCCGATTATGTTTCTAGGTTTGTCAGCACCATGCCCGTGCTCGTGGGTTTCACCAAAGTGATAAACGTCTCAGATCTGCATCACTGCGGGCTTTCCTCCCACATAAAGCTGACACGCCATGGTGTAACTAGAATACTGTTAATAGTGGCGTTAAATCCAACTCACTCACTATACAGTGAAACGGCGGTTGCTCGAACTTCATGAATTTTTGGTTGCAACTTTAAGGCACAAATGTACTAGCATATTCTGATCGTCACAATAGTAGAATGGTGGTACTTCGTTGGTCTCGAATTACAGAAAAATCGATTATTTTCAGGATCGGAGAGATTGTGAGTAAACGAGGTTTTACATTATCTAATAAATATAAGGTACACGCCATGTTACAGTACATTATACACTTATCATGCAGATCAACAGCTGTTTTATATATTAGAGAAGGTACGCGCCATGTTAACTAATGTATCATTATGCACTGTATCTTACAGGACAAATCTTGCAGATCAAGACTGGTTTACATAGGTCTATTGGGGAAGGAACACACCATGTTACAGTACTTTATTCACTGCATCTTGCAGATTAAGACTGGTTTACCTATGTCTATTTGGGGAAGGGCCACACCATATTATTGTATCATTGTTCCCTCTGTCTTGCAGATGAAGGCTGGTTTATTGCCGTGCAAGTGGTTGTGACGATTGGCTTGATCCTTGGTTTTGTCGGCGTCATACTTTCTTTCATCCTCCTGTGTGATGTCGCATGTATAAACAAAATTGTAATCCGGATTGCAGCGATCATACACGCCTTTATACCAGGTAGGGAGTAGTTACAGTTCCTGTTTCCAAATGTAAGAATTCAACTGGACCATTCACATCTGTGTACCGGTTTAGAGAGGTTATTGTTTCCAAATGTAAGAATTCAACTGGACCATTCACATATTTGTACCGGTTTAGAGAGGTTATTGTTTCCAAATGTAAGAATTCTACTCGACCATTCACAACTTATTGTCTGGATTCCGGGTAAGCAAAGCTATGCTTGTCGTAAGAGGCGACGACATAGATGCATATGTTGTCAATCACTGGATTGTCTGACCAGACTCGATGATTTACAGACCGCCGTCATATAGCTGGGATATTGCTGAGTGTCGTTGAACAATATTCAGTCGATCAATAATACCATTCCTAAATAAGAATATTCAAAACAGAAATAAGTAGAAAGTGTACGCCCTCGATCAATGGTTACCCTTATGATACCAAACTCAAACATACAAATACAAATATATATGTAACTAAGGCCTTCTAATCATAGCATGTGCTGATTCATATATATATCTTTTTAAAGCTGCCTTGCTCTTGTGCGGTTTGTTTGTCTACTGGATCAGAGGCGAGATATATTTCGCCGTCTTCTATCTGGGGTTTTCCTGGGGGATCACTCTTATTGCCGCCATCGTCTTCATCGTCGCTGGCATACTCCTCTCCATCGACATTGACCGCTTCTGCAACAAGCCTGTAGAATGTGATGAAGCTACAGCAACATGCTGCACACGCCTTGACTAAACAGTGTCCAGGTCGCGATGTGGTCAATAGGTCAAAGGAATGAAGGCATGTCATAATGTATTATGTATAATGTATACTATCTGTCAATGTATAATGTATACTATCTGTCAATAAAGCAAATTTCGTATATGCCTTGGTGTTCTATCATTACGATATACGAAATAGCCATGAGATTAGCTAGGCAGCGATCCAATCATAGTGAACACCATTCAAATAGTCAGTCACAGATAGCCGTTTTTGTCTACGCCTCAAGCAACTTATAGCCATTGAAAGACGGGAGTAATATATGTAACCACTGTCGCACTGTGAGTCGTACTGTTGGAATACTGTGTGCGTGCGTGTGTGTGTCTGTCTGCTTGTACTAGTCCGAACTAATGTCAATTTAATAGTGCTAGCCCAATGAGATGCCATGCCGCAGTTTAACATGAATAGCCAACTCAGACACAGTATACAGACTCCAAGCCGACCAGTCCTTGTTTTAGCCTCAACCTTCTGCTCGCCGGGCAGATGCTCTAGGCGGTCTTATAAACCGAGGACAATTAATTCGTTTAACCAAATTAATCGCCTAGGTTTTCCCATGGACTCGCACTTGTAGGCTCAGCAGCATGCTTATGATTTTAGATACATATATTAAGAAGGTCATATAACGTGTTATCTTTAATTCATGTCCAGGGTAACCAAATTCCCAAATGTTTTTTCATCACGATGAAGGTCTATGATCGATTCCCCACATGGGTGTCTGCACCAAGATGTCCCCGGCTGTAATGTTGCTGGAACATTGCTGAATGTGCCGTACTATCGTACGTTTGGAATTACGATAACACCGTGGATGTATTGTCTCTACTTTATTCCACGTACCAAGCCGAACGACCGGAGCCGTTAGATATCCCTCCCCGCAGACCTTGTCGGATCATCCTGATCATTTCTGGGCCGACTTGCACAAAGCGATCTTAGCGCTAAGACAATCGTAAGCCTATGTTAAAGTATGGGAGTTACCATCATCTTAGCGCTAAGATCACTTTGTGCAAATGGGCCCAGGACTCCAGCTAGCTCCATAGCAATTACATACATTAATACATAAAGTCTATTCTACCCATGCACATGCACTGTTAGTGATTCTACGTTCCCTACTTTGTTACACAATATAATATTTATCTTCATTTACAGTTTTTCAACACAATTTATAAAAAGCACAGTTATATCGATGAACAACAATTAATTCATATTTCTAACATATTTATTACTACGATAGTACTATAAAACCATACTCACTCTTTGACACGGGGACAAGGATTACTATGTTGCCACAACTCCGTATAGATCCGCTGATCGTGTTATGGTCCTTGTTTTGCTCGATGGTTTCACAAAAATGGCAAATGTTTATGGCAGGTGACACTTTGTATATTACATCCATTTGGCTGCCACATATGTAATGCAGTTAAAAACGCCCCTAAACCTGAGACACTAACGTTCTATTTCACTCACTCACTCCGATAAATGCACATCTAAATAACTTCATATATACACATTTACTTCATAATAAAGATAGATATGTTGCGTTCCTATTTAGACAGGGAAAGAAGCATTATTACCTTGATCAAAGGACGTGGCATAATTGTTCAATGGTCTAGGATATTGCATAACTGAAGTTACAGTAAACAGAAAACCAAAATACAGCTTCGTTCAATTCCCTCTCTTTTGTTTCAGTAACAACGCTGGCAAAGTGCTGATACCTCACTAATATAGCCAAGAAGTTGAAATTGTCATTGCTATATATTGTCATTGCTTACCCTGATAATAGATATTGTCTGTAAGATTATGTGTCAATGCAAATCTCCTGACAGTCACGAACGCAATTAGGGAATAAAACGTTTTCTGCAGAAATAAACTAAGTGCGAATCGTAAAAAGCCGAAATAAAGCAAGCTAATACCACATTCTCTGTAATTCAGCGTTGTCAATAAGTTACACATGTTCGTTCCTACATTGCACATCTTATCAACCAGCAAATAATTGGACAAGCAGGGAAAAACATTTCGCCAATAAGATTACATCTCCCGTGTAAGTACTCGGTGTTTCTAAGTTTTCAAGTATTTAAAGGGCAAGTTCACACGGAAATGAACCTATTTTTCTTGTACTTTTTCCACATTAAAAGTGTTAACATAGAAGTGTCATAGACAAAAATATAAAAATATCACAATTAATTAACATATTTTTCGCATTAAAACGATTTATATTTTTCACATTTACCAAGTGTTCTTTTTCCACAACAAAAACACCATGGCTTATGCCCCTTGCAATATGACGTCATTGGTGCCAATTGATAAACATTATGACGTCATCATGCTTTGTTAGAGCCGCTTCACGTGGTGTAGGTCCAGGTGTGTGATTCTAGCGTCTCAGATGCCAGCCAGCATAGTGTTATGCTGAGTCACCACTGCGCCGGAGTGTGTCGTAGGCCATGTTGTTTTACCGAAAACTGGTACTTGATATCTTTTGCGTTGAGAATAGACAGGGACCCATTTGAATTGGCACCAATTACGTCATAATCTAAGGGGGATAACTCAGGCCTGTTTAGCTCGAAAAACGAAGGCCTCATAACGGCATATCATTTTCACACTATTGTGAGCTTCCTACGTTCACTGTGAAAAAAATGAGTGTATATTTTCAAACACAGATACTAATTAATTCTAAAATTGCGTTTTGTTTAGAAAAAGAAAGAAAGTGATTTTTGCGTGTACACTTCCCCTTTAACAGACTTTGCGCTATTAACCGCAAGTTATCATGTTATCATTTATTATCATAGAAAGTTTTCTGGTTTTTTTAGCTGTTTGTGGACCTGTTTCTGAAACAAGTGGGGCGGTCGGGTAGCCAAGTGGTTAAAGCGTTCGCTCATCACGCCGAAAGCCCGGGTTCAATTCCCGACATGGGTACAATGTGTGAAGCCCATTTCTGGTGTCCCCAAACGTGATATGGCTTGAATATTGCTAAAAGCGGCGTAAAAACCATCCTCACTCACTCACTCTGAAACAAGTTATAACAATATTTAACATTTGAAACCTCACGCTGCGCGTTCGGTGCCAAATTCAATTTAGCACGACTACATTTACAAGTTCTTGTTCTACATTGAAAACACAGAATGTTTATCTCCTAATTAAACAATAAAGATCACAGATAAAATCTTATTCTCAATATTTATTTAGTCAGAATTAAAGCTCTATAAATAGTCTACATTTGGAGTCGATGCGATTACAGTTGTACACCTGAGGGATATATGGGTCAATTTATTATGGAAACATTCTTATTTCGGCCACCCCGATGAAATATTTAGTTCACTCGGATCTTTATCTCCGCGACACCATATATCTGTTATATCAAGTAGTGATACATCACTGGGCGTCCCTGGGCCACATGAGAGAGTGTCAGTCAAGCAGAAACGAGAGGGGTGTACATTAAATTATTCCTGTGTTGTTAAGGAGAGAGATAGTGACAGTCATTGCTCTGGGCCACACATTCGATTTCACAGCTAGTGTTTGTGTTACAGTTCGACTTCATTGGGACAAGCATATGGTAGGGAACAAGGTAAATATACCATGCCGTAGTAAACATATATAAATAATTTTAAATAAACCGTTTATTTGTGTGTTACACGTTATTGTTAGATGATGCAAGTAATATATTTTCTGTTATAGTTTCTGTTGAATCATGTTTAAACACAAATGTATGAAGAACTAACACACAAATAGGTTTGTTTCATTCAGGCGTTCTGGTACACGAAACGTTTGGCTTGTAATACAGTGCCATCAACATGCAGTGTTCACCAGCTATCTTGAGAGGAGCCATGGCGGAATATTTGGTGTCTCTCCTCCTGATTCTGATGCCTCTGTTGGGTGTGGATGCTCAGTCTTAACACTTCATGGGAGGATCAATGAGTTTTACGTTTATCGACACATCTAACCCAACTGAGTACACGGTATGGAAAAGAAAATATCGACGTCGTGAAATTATTTCCAGCTAAGTAACGGTCATCTCTGATAGTTGTCTCCCCTTGGAAAACGTGTGCGTGGTCTTTCTCTGAGCAGGCCAGTTTGACAGTAGAGAGTTATCAACCTTAAAGTTATTCTCCGATGAATATAGTACTTAATTCCCATAGCGGCACCATTAATACGACCGGAGCCTGCTCTGTGGTGGTTGCAAGACGTCTAACGGTGCCTCAAATTGCACTGTTGTCGGTATTTAACACTTTCAATGCACGTAGTTGATCTCGCTGCAAAAAAACACTTCTGCATGGTGTTGTTAGGGTAGCATTATCCGGGCGCTTCTTACACGTTTGTCCAATGAACGTTTCTTTCACTTTGGGGTTTTCAGGTACATATTTTTCAGTTTGTTGTTATTTCTTCTTGTGAGGAGTATAACTATAACTGTACGGATAAAATCCACATACTCATAAATGCATTTAACTATACCTGCTGTTAAATTGTAAAGTTCAAAATGCTCCTCAGGAAATAACAATGAATATCAGTTATTTTATTCCCATAACATAAAACGATGCAACAGAAACTATATAACTATATAAGTCATCTGGAATGAGTGTGTGTGAACTCCTGTCTTGAACAGTATCAAGTCATAAGGAAGACCATTCGACGTTTCACACAAAAAGTATAGCTACAAAAGCTTTGTCGTTTTACGTCAGGTGGCTGAAATGTTTATGCATAAGTTTACGTCTATTGCTTCAGCTGTTTTAACACTGATTTCAGTACAATGTGACCGCATTATGTGACCTCATTTCACCATCATGGTGTATTTCAACGTCACTGAGCGTTGCTGGATTTTTTACTTCCCACGCAAAATTCCATTCCTTTTCTTACAATGTAGAACGCTGCCATATAAAGAATGTGGACTAATACAAGTTGCATACCATTATTATACTTATATTTATCTATAGAAATACAGAAAATTGATTTACCATGGAAAGTGCAGATGTATACCTACAATGTTTAATTCATTTGAACAGTAGTTATGTAGGAGTAAATAAAACAAAACAATCACGGCCTTACAATTCTTCTTTTACAAAGTGACTAAAACGCAGTCGGATATGCTATAAATTTCTTTGTTTCAAGTTAAGAATTGCATGCGGTACATGCATTATTTTTTCAGGCCCTGTTAACTATCGTTACCGGATTGGTGTTGGGTGAAGGTCCTTGTGGAGAAAGATGTTCCATTTCAGACGTCGGAAGGAGCACAGTAACATCTCGAAATCATATGTTGGACATGAATGGGGATGTATATTTTGGAAACTGGACTTTTAAGGGCTACTACACACCAAGGAATACCACTTACAGTGTGATCACTGACGAAGTATCCAAGCGACTCCTTGGCGAAGTTGCAGCCGTAAATGTGCCTCTCAAGTGGGAACAGGAAATAGCGGAGGTCGTTCTTGACGTTGCTCCATATCCAACTTCTATGAGAGTTGAGTAGGTATATCTAATGTGATGTTTATTTTGATTTCAAACTTTTGCATATTAGTTGTTTCAAAAGCTGGTGTGTCCCTGTGTTCATTTTGTTGTTCGACCAACCTGGCACAGAACCATGACATAAAATATTGAATTAAAAACGTCCACGCCAGAGAAAAATCCATCTTGAATAGCTGCCGAAACAGATTCCATATGGCGAAATAGTGATGAAACTTGTATCAATGGATCACTGAAAATCATTGATGACACCCGGTGTTCGCGAAAAGGATAAGCAATTTTCATTTTCATTGAAATAGTAAGTGTCCGACAGTAAGGAGGCGTGAAAACTCCGTGTGAAGATTATAGCATGTGATAGCATCATGTTGACATGCGACGTGTCATATTAAATAAATTCGTATGAATGTCTACCTTAAAACTTCTGATGGTCCAACCTTGATTGAAGAGCGTAGTTGTAAGCAAAATATAAAATTTCTTATTTATTTCAATTTGTAATCTAACCTCGCGATCCAGTTGCAGATTATTAAAACGTTATATACACCAAACACTGCTTACCCAAAAAGATATTATCACTGATCTGACGATTACTGTGTTACACAAAAACTAAACGAAGGGACAACACTCTTATTTAGGATCCATTCGTCCTCGAATGACTAACTGAAATGCTTTCAAGGCGGCGCTTTCACTCTGGATTCTGACACTAATATGATTGGTAATATTCTGGATGACCATGGCAAATATGCGTACCTTGCTTACGGAATGACACGCCTGAACTTGTCCTACTCTCCATTGTTCTCGGTGTATTAGATTTGGTGCCTCCCAATCCGTTGACTGACATTGGTAGTGTACCCGGATTTGCTGCCAGGACAGCCCTTCTGTCAATCTGGGCAATGCAGAAGGCTGCAGTGTTTGGAAGACTTCCCATTCTCTGAATGGTTCTTTGTGAGTTTGACCAGGCAGCACTTCCCGAGAGAAGTCTAATTTGCTGACTGGACTGCGTGTAGAGGAGGCAAGGAGCCTGGGCTGATGATGGGCCCAACCAGTCTGACTGTTTGTTGCATTCATTTATTTTAATTTGTCAAATATGATAATTACAATAATGTCCATTTTGATAGCACTTCTACACAATGCCTAGTTCAACCCCAGTAAATGGAACAGTGTACATCATGATTGCAGTCCCTGGTCCTGATGAAATATACGCATTCGTGGTCAGTAAACAGAAAACTATATGCATTATTCTTCACGGGTCTTCATGTCATATGCTTCTTGATTTAAATTGATTTCGAGGAAAATATATAGTCGCCAAGCTCTAAATTAACAATATTTCGTTCCTAATGGGACTACGATGGACGTGATGTTATCAATATTCAGGCGGCGCATCAACCACCTAAATCCGTCGAGGTGGGTGTATATATATATATATATATATATATATATATATATATATATATATATATATATATATACACACCACACAATCATGTGACCACCCTACATCATAATATTGTTATCCAAAGCACGTGTAAACCTGAATAACTCAAAGTAGTTCATCATGTGACCATTTTATTTGCATTTTCATTATCTGGAAACCAATGAAACCTCAGTGACTATTTAAAGGGATAGCTGAGTCGGATTTGGAATTATTCCCCAGGAAGCGTCCGAGATGACACACGCAGGTTGTTGTGGTACGACTTCGATCTTCGTCAAGGTGTCAGCATTCTTGTTTCTCTTTGCATTTGGCCTTCTTCTTCTGGGGTTCGGGACGCCACTATGGAGTGCAAGAGGAGGTCAGAACGAAGGACTCTGGGAGAGGTGCACCGGGAGCGTATGTGTCTCAACTCCATCTGATCCACTAGGAGGTATGTCTAAAATGTGGAGTGTTCTAAATGTACGATTTAGATAACCCAAAAGATGAAGTGAAACGAAATATATCTGTCTTCACGTGGATGGATTCTATTAAATAAACAGCTCCTTAACACAATAACCAGTAATATGTAATAATGACAACGCCTTTATTTAGATGTAGAAAGCAATTAACGTCTTATTATAACCTTTAAACAAACCATCGGGATGCATATTTCAGTCTTATGTGAACAACACGCAAATGAAACTGTTTTTACAGTATACTCTATGTCAGTGCAGATAGAGAGCATCGATGTTAAATTCTTATCCAGTGAAACGGGGGCACGGGTGGTCCAGTCGTCTAAGGAGCCGGGATTCGCTGTGCAGAGTCGCGTCCCCTATGATTGTGTGTTCGAATCCCGGTTCGCCCCGATTATGTTTCTAGGTTTGTCAGCACCATACCCGTGCTCCTGGGTTTCACCAAAGTGGTAAACGTCTCAGATCTGCATCACTGCGGGCTTTCCTCCAACATAAAGCTGACACGCCGTGGTGTAACTAGAATACTGTTAAAAGCGGCGTTAAATCAAACTCACTCACTATACAGTGAAACGGCGGTTGCTCGAACTTCATGAATTTTTGGTTGCAACTTTAAGGCACAAATGTACTAGCATATTCTGATCGTCACAATAGTAGAATGTTGGTACTTCGTTGGTCTCGAATTACAGAAAACTCGATTATTTTCAGGATCGGAGAGATTGTGAGTAAACGAGGTTTTATATTATCTAATAAATATAAGGTACACGCCATGTTACAGTACATAATACACTTATCATGCAGATCAACAGCTGTTTTATATATTAGAGAAGGTACACGCCATGTTAACTAATGTATCATTATGCACTGTATCTTACAGGACAAATCTTGCAGATCTATGGTTTACATAGATCTATTGGGGAAGGAACACACCATGTTACAGTACTTTATTCACTGCATCTTGCAGATTAAGACTGGTTTACCTATGTCTATTTGGGGAAGGGCCACACCATATCATTGTATCATTGTTTCCTCTATCTTGCAGATGAAGGCTGGTTTATTGCCGTGCAAGTGGTTGTGACGATTGGCTTGATCCTTGGTTTTGTCGGCGTCATTCTTTCTTTCATCCTCCTGTGTGATGTCGCATGTGTAAACAAAATTGTAATCCGGATTGCAGCGATCATACACGCCTTTATACCAGGTAGGAGTAGTTACAGTTCCTGTTTCCAAATGTAAGAATTCAACTGGACCATTCACATCTTTGTACCGGTTTAGAGAGGTTATTGTTTCCAAATGTAAGAATTCTACTCGACCATTCACAACTTATTGTCTTGATTCCGGGTAAGCAAAGGTATGCTTGTCGTAAGAGGCGACGACATAGATGCGTACGTTGTCAATCACTGGATTGTCTGACCAGACTCGATGATTTACAGACCGCCGTCATATAGCTGGGATATTGCTGAGTGTCGTTGAACAAAAATCAGTCGATCAATAATACCATTCCTAAATAAGAATATTCAAAACAGAAATAAGTAGAAAGTGTCCCCCCTCGATCAATGGTTACCCGTATGATACCAAACTCAAACATACAAATACAAATATAAATGTAACTAAGGCCTTCTAATCATAGCATGTGCTGATTCATATATAAATCTTTTTAAAGCTGCCTTGCTCTTGTGCGGTTTGTTTGTCTACTGGATCAGAGGCGAGATATATTTCGCCGTCTTCTATCTGGGTTTTTCCTGGGGGATCACTCTTATTGCCGCCATCGTCTTCATCGTTGCTGGCATACTCCTCTCCATCGACATTGACCGCTTCTGCAACAAACCTGTAGAATGTGATGAAGCTACAGCAACATGCTGCACACGCCTTGACTAAATAGTGTCAAGGTCGCGATGTGGTCAATAAGTCAAAGGAATGAAGGCATGTCATAATGTATTATGTATAATGTATACTATCTGTCAATAAAGCAATTTTTGTATATGCCTTGGTGTTTTATCATTACGATATACGAAATAGCCATGAGATTAGGTAGGCTGCGATCCAATCATAGTGAACACCATTCAAATAGTCAGTCACAGATAGCCGTTTTTGTCTACGCCTCCAGCAACTTATAGCCATTGAAAGACGGGAGTAATATATGTAACCACTGTCGCACTGTGAGTCGTACTGTTGGAATACTGTGTGCATCACGATGAAGGTCTATGATCGATTCCCCACATGGGTACAGTGTCTGCACCAAGATGTCCCCGGCTGTAATGTTGCTGGAACATTGCTAAATGTGCTGTACTATCGTACGGTTGGAATAACGATAACACCGGGGATGTATTTTCTCTACTTTATTCCACGTACCAAGCTGAACTCCGCGGAACTGGCGAACCTCGCCCGGAGCTGGCTAGATATCCCTGGCCGCTGACCTTGTCGGGTCATCCTGGTCATTCCTAGATTCCAGCTTGCTCCATAGCAATTACATACATTAATACATAAAGTCTATTCTACCCATGCACATGCACTGTTCTTGATTCTACGTTCCCTACTTTGTTACACAATACAATATTTATTTTCATTTACGGTTTCTCAACACCATTTATATAAAGCACAGTTATATCGATGAACAACAATTAATTCATATTTCTAACATATTTTTCACTACAATAGTACTATAAAACCATACTCACTCGTTGACACGGGGACAAGGATTACTATGTAGCCACAACTCCGTATAGATCCGCTGATCGTGTTATGGTCCTTGTTTTGCTCGATGGTTTCACAAAAACGGCATATGTTTATGGCAGGTGACACTTTGTATATTACATCCATTTGGCTGCCACATATGTAATGCAGTTAAAAACGCGCCCAAACCTGAGACACTAACGCTCTATTTCACTCATTCACTCCGATAAATGCACATCTAAATAACTTCATATATACACATTTACTTCATAATAAAGATAGATATGTTGCGTTCCTGTTTGGACAGGGAAAGAAGTATTATTACCTTGACCAAAGGACGTGGCATATTTGTTCAGTGGTCTAGGATATTGCATAACTGAAGTAACAGTAAACAGAGAACTAACCATAATTTGTGGTGATAAAAACAGAGAGGGTTAAAACTGTAACGTCGCCTTGACATTCCCGCCCAATAGAAATGCTTTCCTCTAATCTTAGGGCGTTGGTGAAATATGTCTCAAGATTACAGTTGAATGTTTCTCGACCTTATTTAAAGTACAAGTTTAGATAAATGTTCCACCGAGCTCACACCTCGCTTTCAAAATGTCCAAACATTCATATTGTTCATCATCCATCTGTTCAGTGTGTATGAAATCTAACTGGTCAAATGAAACACATGTGAAAAATATAAAACCGTGTCTTCATGGACATGATTAAAAAGGAATAACCTTTATTCTACAAATCCCCAAGATAAACTTAAAACAAAAACTATCATTAGTTTAACTCATATCCTTAAGATATTCTTATCTTTGCATATTTTACCTTTTGATGTCTGTACTGTGTCACCCACATCAACTACATTATCTTTCATCACCTATGCATAGGAATCTTTTTGACATGCCAAATGTTATTAATTCATCTGTGTCCCTCGCAAGCTCCAACGCTCATACAGATTGGTCAATTGGTCATAATTCTTTGAAGGTAAAAAACCCAGTGAATTTGAACAAAGTGAAAATCGATTCAAAATTGAATAAATGATACTGTTGAATGTAAGTAATATTTCCCTTTTTGTAGAGTCTCTATCTGAAAAGTGAAAAGCCATCAGTGTCAACACCAGTTGTATCCACGGTAAAAGTGTCTCCTTATCGCAGAGTGAATACCCTGGTGGTGGAAGAACGTCATGACCAACCCGACTGAAGATTGTAATGTTCATTAAAACTATCGCATCTCTAAAATTATGTCTGTTTGTCGTTTCTGCTTCATGAGTACATATCTTCTGTATATCAGACACGGCATGACCTAGATTTCCACAGTTCAACACTGAACTGCTCACGGAACTTGAGGTTACTTACGCCAGCGCATTCAAGTACAGACAATACGACATGTGACTGCGCAACGTGAACTTTTTTGTATCTGCTCCTGCAAAACGCCGCACCCCACAATGTGACGGCGGCCTGTACATATTTGAGTCTGGACAATCCAGTGATTAATATTGTGTGGGTACGATGTCACACCAAGAACTAAGTCAGCGAACCTGCCAACCCATCTATTAATACGACCGGCATAGGTTGCTGTTGAGCAATTTAAACCCGGCATCCCCACGGGGTTCGATACAAGGAAATTCGTCTCAATAATGTTGCAATATTTCGTAATATAATATGCGACATGTTACTAATTGCCAAAGGAAAACCTTTAATAGTTGTTTGCTTCTTAAGTAGATGTTATATTTCAAGAGGAGGAAACTATCCAAGACATTCAACAGTGCCACGGGGAAACGTCCCAGCACCACCGACATGACCCATTTGGAACCGTTTACGTACACCACATTGTGGGGAAATCATGCACAGGAGAAACTTCGAGAACATTCGACATACGCACCAAAGAACACATTCAAGTGTTCAGAATCCAAACAAGATACCAATTTGCGGTATCAGACCAAACCCAAAAATATCCCAATCACGAGATTGACTGCATAGTGACGACCGTTCTCTGATCTAAATGTAGCATTAAAACAATATGGTCTTACCTTACGAATGCGTTTATGCATTTACGAATGCGATCACTGCTACGGAAAGCCTTAATTTTGAAATGAGTAAGAAAGTAGTATTACCATCCCAATCAATTACCGAATACCACCAATTCAGAGCTAATTAACTTTGAGCTAATAAGAACTGCTGTGAAACGTTGGGTGCATTATTTATGTCAACTCCTAGATTTGTGCTTTGTCAGAGGGATCCCATACTCATCAGTTTCAAAATGCAGAAATCTTCTACGAAAGGGGATCGTTTTAGATTGTCCTCACACATTAAGCTAGCGCGACTTTATATAACTGAAATACTGTTCACAGCGGCATCCAACTAAATGCATTCACTCACCCGGTTTACCTATCAGAAGACCGCCTCCGTGGTTTAGTGGTAGAGCGTCCGCCCGGAGAGCGGAAGGTCCGGGGTTCGATCCCCGGCCGCGTCATACCAAAATACGTTAAAAGATGGTACTTGTTCCTTACCATGTCAGGCGCTCGGCATTAAGGGTCTAAAACAAGGACTGGTCGGCTCGGAGTCAGTATACTGTGTCTGAGTGGAGTATTCATGTTAAACCTCGGCATGGTATCTCAGTGGGCTAGCACTATATATCGGCAGTCCTGACTAGTACAAGCAGCCACACACACACATGCATGCACGTCGCTATATAAGTGCAGTAATCTTGGACGCGACGTTTAACCCCATTTCACCTCACCTATCACAACCGGTTAGTGCATCCACTTGTATGCGTATGAATACAGGATACACATGATCTAAAGGTCTCAATGACTTCATATGTTTCATTTATACATTTATATTCACATATGCACCTCAAACATGATGAGATCACCTCAGTACTTAACTTCACTTTGGTGCATGACGACGGATTTGTTATTGTGCGAAGAAACTGAAAGAAGCTTGCGTAAACAACCTGTGTTCCGTGCTTGCACGATACAGCCCAGTGAATTCCTTTCCCGTTAGCGTATGCTCAGACATGCTGTCTTTTCCCTCAACGATATATTCTTGATCATCACACCCAGTGTTCTCACCCATTCCGAGTCGATACACAGACTTTGAGAGTACTGGGGAAACTACTTTCCTTGTCACTGAATATAATTAATCGTTTCATATCCCTTTTTCACTTTCGCCGAGCATATTTGATATACTTGGTATTTTACTTTGACAAAAACCTAAACCAAAATATTTTGTGTGTGAAAGTAAGCATGATTTTTGAAAATTATAATCACTTATACATCGATTTTATATTTCTAGATAAATACAGTATTTTATCACTCAATACATAACTAAAAGCTTTTTCTCAACCTCAGTTGCAATTCAGTGCACAATTTTGTAAATGATTATGCAGTAAATATATCTTCTATCACACGACTACTCCTCTGCACGGTTGACCCAGTCGTCTAAGGCGCACCAATTCTCTGCGCAAAGTTGCGTCCCTTCGGCACGTCAGACACCTATGATCGTGGGTTCCAATCCTGGTTCGAATTATGTTACTAGGTTTGTCAGCACCATACCCGTGGTAGAGAGTTTTACCAAAATGGTAAACCACAGAGACCTGAATCACTTTGGGCTCTCTCCTCACATTAAGCTGACACGCCGGGGTAAAACTAGAATACTGTTGAAAGCGGCATGAAACCCAACTCATTCACTCACTCACACGACTTAACAAGACCCTCAAAAGAAGCCAAATAACGACATCCTTTGTTTTAAAAACGATCACGGGAAGTTTTTTTTCTTATGAAAAATGGTATCAATTAATTCATAAACGTACGAATAGATTGAGGATCACACTTGTGCGAATGTCAGAAAACTGTGTTACTATGCATATGTCAGCTTTGAGGTAGGTACTATGCGGATCTAGCGAAACCATATGACTCTGACCAGTTCGACCAAGACTTTTAACATGGTATTGACAATGAAATTGCGAAATTAGCCTTTATTAATGAAACAATGAAACTAATACATGTGTTTGTGCTGAAATATCCGTGGTCACTCGATATGTACAGAAACTAAAGCAGATCAAATCACCTGGCCCTAATAATATTTAAAATGAACATGTGATGTTTGGTGATGAGCTTCTCGTGCGGAAGTTAGCACTATTATTTAATGCTATTTTCAGACTTCGGTACACACCTGCAGCCTGTAGACACGGGGTAACTAGATCTATATATAAGGGTAAAAAAGATAAATCACAGATTAGAAACGAGCATGCCGAAATGCCTTTAATTTTCCGGATATGTTGCGGTTGGCTTTGGGAAAGAGCACGGTGCGGTC